GATGTAAGACTCCGTGCGACAGGAAGAGATTTGGTTTCTGGAGAAGCTCGCAGTAGGAAAGAGTTTAGCTGATAGACTTAACACCTAACTGATAAAATAAAACTAAAAAAAGCGAAATTTTGTTCATTTTATTGGGATTTTGTGTTATAGAAAAGTAGCGTGCATTCTAAAAGAGAAAAAAAGGATACAATATTTAAATATTTATGCAAATAAAACTGTAAAAAGTTTAATTTTCAGCCCCCCTCAATCAACACTTGGCTCAGCCACATGCGTTTTGTTGGATGTTTCTACCCAAATCTGGCCTTGAGACCAAAATGTCTCCAAACTAGTTCATGCTAGATGATGGAAATCATCTGAAATGACCAATTTAAGGTTCTCAAATTATGGACTTTAACTGTACCATTTGAAGATTGTGTTCATCCATTCCATAAAAGCCAATTTGAAACATGTTAGCTTTAATCTGTTTATTAAGGTTATTCAATTATCAGATGATTTATGGAACTTCTTTGAAAAAATCCTTTAGAAATGTGATCTGTAGATGCTGAAAGTACCTTTAGCATCTGTGCTACTGCAGCATGTTTAGCATTAAGATGCTATTTTAGACTTGAATAGCTTGATAGGCTAAATATTTTTAGCACACCTTGAACACAATTATAATCTTTACCAGTGTCCAAGCAAAAATTAACCCACAGTGGGGTAAAAGAAGCTGTTTTGTTGCCCATTGCTGTTTGTGAATGTCACTTGCACGTCAGATATACGGTTGTACCAGAAATGTGCAAATACAAAGGTTCCAGCTGGAATAAAGTGTGACTAATTGCATTAAAGTTTTTAACTAAAAATAAATGTAATAAATGTAATTAATGACTCAAAATTACAAGTTAAAAGTGTGAATTTGGCAGATTTTTACAGTTTAGAGGCTAGAAATTAAAGATATGTTTATGGCACAGAGTATTGAGAAGAAGGATGCAGCTCATCTGCTGAATCCATCTCTTTATCCGCACAATCACAAAAGGCCGACATGATCTCAACTGCTCTGCGTTCGTTAGCGGGTGGATAATGAAGTCCAGCTGAAATCATTTGAAGATAGCAAGCTTCAACATTCGTTTATTGGCAGAAAACCTTTTAAAGCATTTGGTTTTAGTTCACTCCTTTGGGATGGATGGCTGTGGCGCTGACCTCACAGCTTCTCTTGCGCTTCCTGTTGATGCAACTGCGAGTCATTGATTCGAGCCCCACCACCTGCAGGTAGGCAAACTCATTCCTGATGACACCAGACTTTATCTAACACATAAATATTTAAGTGAGTCGAACAGAAAGGCAGAAACTCCGATGACGGCTCCTTTTTCAGGCCCCAAGGATAAATTACCTCTGAAGGCAAACTTTCTCAAAGATTGGGGGAACTACTGATAAACAAAACAATCTATAATTAAAGCATCTGCACCGTAATTAAAACCTGTGCTATCGGTTTTCCCTGACAGTATGATACGATGCTTTTATATTATTTAAAAAAAAAAGAAAAAAGGAGCCACATTGTGATTTGTGCTGCTTTATTCCTGGTGTTGAGATTAAATATAGTTTCTGTATTTTCCGCTGCTTCGTGATTGCAAGCGAGGTGACAGTGTTCTTTTTGTACGCCTAATTGCTCCCTGGGTTGCTTTCTTCCTCTCCTCACAGCGATGTCTCCCGTGATAAAGACGGATCAGCCTTGACGAGAGGGACCAGCCGCGCCGCCGTTTTCACTCTCGACTCTTCCGCGTTTGACAACGTAATTACGAAAGACAAGGAGCTGTGCAATTAAAAGGCAGCGGTTGTTGACAGGAGCTTTAATAGGAGCGGCGCAGCAGAGACGAGACTCAACAGGGGGGGTTCTCGGAGACTAGGCGTCCCAATGTTTCCACAGATCTGGCAGGGTACCAGATGGACTCATGAGGAACTTTACAAAAAAATTACAAATAAAAATCAGGACACTTGATGTTTTGATGCTCTTTCCTTTGAGCTATGCTACTCATCGGCTCTATTGTGGGCGTTATCAGTTGTTTGTCATGGCAGGTTGATAAATATTTCCCCATTGTTTATTACATTACATATAACCGAGGATTACAGTGGATTATGGTGCAGCTAATGAACTTAATGAGTTTGCATCGCGACTCATAAAGCAACATCAATTGATGTTCGAGGTTAATAAACAGACTTCTGTGTTCATTGGTTATTTAATCTTGGTTCAAAATGAGATATGCATGATTTATGCTGGAAATTCAGTGCTGTACTTCATCAGGTAGAGATGTTTGCTTTGAGTTTGCTGCTGCAGAGATGCTGCTCAGTGTGGCAGCAGATCATCATTCTACATTTATGTAAAAAATTGCAATACTAACACAGCAGGAATCATGTCTCCATTAGGATATTCATGTTTTTATGGAAGTTTTCTGGATCTACTCTGTCAGTTTCAGCCTGATTGAGGAGGAGGGAACACCAGCAGTACTTCTATCATTTTATTAGCAACCTTAGCTGAAGCAAATTTGTTTTTTTCTGTCGAAGATATTGCACGAAATTTCAAAATAACTTTATGACATTGCTTGAATGCTCTGTGTTTGTTACTCTGAGGCTGCATTAAGAAGGAATAATGCACACAAAGTGTTTTAAACTAATCAGCCTCTGAAGCCGTTATAATGAATTTTGTCGGCTCAAGTGGCGTGAATAACCAGACAGGAAAATTTTTATAAAACATTTCAGAGTTTTTTTTCTAGCAAATCTGCTACTTTTCAAACTTAGAAATTTCCTTGTTTGTGCTAGAACATTTCAGAGATTTTTTTAACTTTTCAAACTCAAATTTTCTTTTGTTTTGAGAATTATTTATTTATTTATTCATTTATTCCTTTGATTATCTAAAATAGCCCCAACTGTCTGTCCTAGCAACTCAACCATTGTGCTAAACATATAAATATTCACCTTTATATTATTTTAATATGCCACCCTCTTGCTTAGAGTGTGTTTTGGTGCTCCCTAGTGGCCAATAGAGTCATCAAAATAAAAATAAAATATAGGTAATCTAAAACGATGACACTAGGGATGCAACTTCTGCATTTCTGCCTGCAGATGTTGAGATGACTAAGCTACCAGCAGGCAGACATGTCCATTGTGTGCTTACATAAGGACACACAGACATATGCAACAGTGTACACTTTAAAAACGGTGAGTGTGTACAACTGTCACCTGCAATATGTATGAAGTCTGAGTAATTATTGCCCTGCCTCTGTTTTTATGCTAATGTCTTCATGTTCAGCATAAATTCCAGCCATAAATTTGTCCCTTTAATGAAGAAAAATTACTAAGTTGTGCCTGCACACCTTGTTAGACGAATAAAACGACTTCAGCTTCCACCGGGTAACAGGCCGTCCTTTCCAATGGAGTTCTCCATCACTAGTAATCAATAACCGTCAAAACATGAGAGCGCTACGAGTTTCAGCCATCCCAAAGTTTTCATTGTTCTGCCAAGCTCCTCTGAGCCACAACTACAGATTAATCAGGTGCCAAGTCTGCTTCTCTAAACTAATTATTTAACTTTAGCCTGCTTTCCACTTGGAATTAAATTAAGCTAAATAATTTAAAAAATACACACTAAATGGATAATTGTAAGCTAATGAATGAAAAACTCAACAGGAACATATGTGCCTTTGTAAACTCTTGGTAAACTTTGTTTAGATCCATCCACTAAGCATGAATAATATTTCAACCCTTCAGCGTGATTATCTCATTTCATGATTGAGCTTCCTTGTTTATCTGCAGCTTTTTGAGACACAATAATTGTTTGATTTAGAAAAAAACAAAACAAAACAAAGCAAAGGATGACGCCTTGGGTTGCGAACACATCCAGAAATGAAAGGACAGCGAATATATCAGTCATTTTTACGTCAATAAAAAACATTCTTTGAGCTCGTTTGCTGCTGTCAACGGTCTTTTATTTTGAATGTCTGTCGTGGCTTTTCAAATTCAAACGACGAAAAAAGTAACAAGAAAAACACGCAGCCTTTCCCAAAATTAATCTCTGTGATTGATGTGTATTTTTCCACCAGCCGATGACTCAGTGAGTCCAGACTGATTTCTGGAAAAAAAAAAAAAAAAACACGCTGAAATTGAAAAGTTTCCAGAAGCGAAGATAAAAAAGCAATCTATGACCTGCTCAGTGTGGACCTAATGGGAGCTGTCAGGGAGGTGAAGTCGGTCGGCTTCAGAGTACAAAGACGCAACTGGAAATGATGAAACGTCAAACAGAAACAAACATTTGCATAAATAAGATAAACTGACTTTGTTACATCTGACCCAAACTTATTTAGTCCGGTCTTAGGTTGCGGCTGTTTTTTATGTGTTGTAGCGTCCAAGATTGACTGGGCTGTGCCTGATTTGAGCTGTTTTTATTTATTTTTTTACACTGAAGGTTCAATGTGCATAAACACACAAACATGTGGTGCTTCCAGTCCATAATTTAGGCCAGAAGGTTGACCAGGCTTTTAAGGATTTAACAATGAAAGTCATCTAAAACATTCACATATGAAGCAGATATTAAAATTGTGTTTACTGAGTAAAATGCTTCTGAGTAGGTTAATAAGACTCATTTGGTAAATAATCAGCATCACTTTTTCACCTTTTATCAAGCTGCAGCTACATACTTTAATGCACTTTATAAGGATTTTAATGTAAAAAAACAACACAAAGTGGTGCATAATTATGAAGTGGAACAAAAATTATACATATTTTCATGAAAAATACACTGATTAGAGCCGGGTTAGTTTTGAATTCAGACCCATTTAGAACGTAGTCGGGCAAAGTTAGTAGAGTAACGACTCAGACTTTCTGCTATATGTGAACTGAAAGGTGGTTCTACAAAGAAGTACATAATGCACTTTCCATATTTTTATCTGTAAAAAATATGCATGTGATGTCCTTTCACATTAAATCCATATAAAAGTTCTTACATTTTTAGTATTTTAGAGAACAAACTTTACCACAGTCCGTACTTCAGGTACTGCCTGCACGTCTTGTGGCTCAAACATTTCCTCTGAAGTTTGTCTGGGGATTATTTTCTGCAACCAAGAAAACAGATTCAAGACACAGTAAACAAGGGAAGCTCCACATCATAACCAGCAGGTAAACAGAGAAACTCCAGCAGGTCAACTTCACTCTGCATTCCTTCAACTGCATCTTCTAAAATGAGCATCATTTTACCACCAGCGTGCTTTATCAGGGCTTCCCCCAGTGTATTATAAGCCTGGCGGGCCACCAGGCTTTACTTGTGCTCCCACCAGGCTACTTCTTTAAAATCTTTTTAAAATGTTTGCATTTTTTAAGACTTTATAGTTGGTTTACATGTATTAATCTTCCAATCTTTTAATAACACATAATTATTGAGTGACATTTTCAAATTTCCTGTCAAGTTTAAACATTTTTTAACTCAAAAACACAACGGGCCGCTGGATGAATGACTGGGGAAAACCTTGTTTATGCTCGTCAAGGTTCACTAAAAAAAACCCCACTCACTTAGATGTTTAAAACTCCTTCACTTTTCTATCACATTTATCCTCATTTCTATGGACAGTTTAGAAATTTTGACATATTTTCAATCCAAAAATGCTTATTTGTTACTTTTTCCACAGCAAAAACTCAAATGTCATCACAGCTGTGTAGGTGTTGTGACTGAAGCCACTTACTGAATCACATAAACTTGTTGACATTCCATGTGTGAATCATTCAACCACGTAAGACTTTCACTACAAAGACACGGTGCTAAGTAAACTGACACATTACCAAGAGTTGGACATAATGACAATGAATTAACCATTTAAATGTGTTTAGATGCCGTTTGTTTTTCCAGCCTACCTCCCATTGGTAATTGCTTTCTAACCGCTGCAATTTAACACAATTTTCAGCCCTCCCAGGAGATGCCATTTCTTCATTTAGTCATTTGAAATTCTATTTTTGAACACACATCCTGCCCCTCTTCCCGCTGATGCCTCTCCCCTTGCCTGAAGTTATCTCATCTTAAAGAACGGAGGAGTGATCGCCTCCAGAAGATTGAAGCCAGTTTCCATTTCCGTTGAAGGGGCTCGTGGTCTTTGAAGCAAGGAGAAGGGAGAGAAATGCGTCTTTGTACCATGCACTCCAGCAAATTAAAAAGTCAGACGTTGGCGCTCTGGTATGTTTGAAGTCTCCTTTTTGAGCGTGGGCATGATGTTGGGAAATATTGTGAAGATCAGATGCAAGTCTGCAATGCTACACTGTTCAACCCTTCCACACAAGACGGATTAGTTTGCTTCCAAACTAATATCAATACCACATTGTAACCAGTACAGCATTGATACTAGCGTGGTAAGATTCACTTTTGTGTCAGATTCAATCTTGAATTTATTTTTACGTGTTGTATTTGCTCTCAAATTATATATGTTTGCATTGCATTTAGGAAAAACACAAAAATCATGCATAAACTTTGTCTAAATTCTGTCTTACCACAAAAGTACCTAAAGATCAGATGTTTGGTGATATATCAAACTTGAAATATATCGCTGTTAGTATTGGTATTGGTGATACTGGCATCGATATAAAAATATGCAGAATCACACACCTCTGGACTTTTAGGTAAATGTGTTTAGAGATACATTTCTATAAAGACTGAGATCTGTCTTAAGCTTTCTCCATTTATCTGTATTTGCTGAAAAATGAACTTCAAATTGTTTGGAATACGATTTATAACCGTTACCAGATTGATGATCATTATTTGAAGGTCACGTTTATCTCTTTCCATCTTGGCATTGTGTTAATGAGGAACTGTATGTTAATCAGCTTTTATAGAGGTGGTTGCACTCTCTGATGATGAGATCGAAAAGTTTGTTTATTAAACTCAACCTGGCTGCTTTTTCCCTCTTAAACCTCACAGAAACAGCAGGACTCCCTCTGCCTGCATCTCTCAACTGGCCTTGTACTTGCAGGTATCAGGTGTTTTTTAAATCCAGTCCAATCAAAATCCAATCTTTAGGGACATTGACTCATTAGGTGTGAGATCCGTGGCCATCAGTGGAGTTAATTGTTCATCACTGCATCTTCTTTCAAAGCTGTATTTAAATGACAAAATTGGACATGGTCAAAAAAGTCTGCATGCTTTCTAAAATGATTTCTGAGCGTGAGGTTGGCTGTTTTCGCTCACAATGCTCCGCGCCGCTGAGGAGCCACTCAGAGAATCACAGCATGAGGCTAATTGCAGTTTCTGGTGAGTCAACATCTGGGAGATGAATCAAACATTTAAAAGGAATAAAAAAAAGTTGCAGAATGGTAAAAAGTTACATTTTATTGATCTCTTGAAAACAAATTAAAAAGTAATTTCATATGAAAATTTGTAGATCACAGGAGGCTTTTTTCAGGAAGAATAGCATAAATCTGAAAATATCTTAAATGTACTTGTATTCTAACATTTTAAAGTGAAATGCATGTCAGCCAGGAAAGAGTTCATTTTAAATTTAGAGCTCATTACAGAAACAAATGTAAGGCAGAGCTATTAAAGCTGCACACTCCCCAGGCGGCTGCAACGTCTTTCCAGGAAGTGAAGCAATATTACTTTAGCTGTAACATTAAGCTATCAAAAACAAGATGAGGAGGAATGTGATTTGTTAAAGCAAAACTTAGGAATGCAGTTACCGTGGTAACCCCAGACACTGATAAGAGGATCAGAATAAGTTTTCCGTCTCTGATGAGAAATGTACTCTGAATATCCGTACTATTAAATGCAAGTGGAGCTGATTTGTGAATATATTAATAAAAATGTGCAAAGATATCGGAAAAGATACTAAAACCACCATTATGAAGAAAAAAAAGTTAAATCTAGCACTTATGAGAACAATCTATTCATAGAGAAACGGCTTGAAATGAAGTTATTGATGCCTGCGAGAAAATTCAGAGGCTGTTTTAATTTTTGTTTGTCTCTGAAGAAAATCTTTAGATCATCCATGCTGCAGCACATCCTTCATGCCCAAGTTTACTTCTTTACCTTCTGACATTTTTTGCATTTGGTGCAGTTTAATTTCTCCTTTAAACTCAATTCAACTAAAAATAAAAAGTAATTTCCAAGCACTTTACTTCACAGGTTCATTTCAAATCGAGTTATATTCAATCAGTTCATTTCAGTCGCACACATTCTGGTCAATAACTGATGCAATTAGAATGTAATACCATAACAAAGACGTTTGTGCATCACAAACTCAAGGTTTCCACATGCGCCTCAAGAGAGGTTACCAAGCAAACTTCTGAAAAGTTTTGTCTAATTTGAAACGCAGCCATTAAAAAGCGATTAGTGGGCTTACGAGGCACCTGCCGCTCACTGGCGACACTCTTAAGCCTGGTGATGACAACAGGGACCAAACAATCCAAAACAAAGCAATTAAAAATCACAGTTCCTTTCAAACATGAAATATTCAGATCCACCGGCCAAAAAAATGTACTTTACTGCCGACAGTTAGTGGACAATAAAACAGCTGACCGGACTTTAACTGCAAAGCTAAACAGTTATTTTATGCGGCTCATAAATGCATGTTTGGACGTTTAGAGGACTTTTTTTTGCCAATAGAGAGAACGTCTATTCATCTGAGATAATACTTGAGTTGTTTTACCCCAAAACCTGAAGGAAGAGCTGAGTACAAAAACAAAAAAAGAGGAGGAAATATCTGCACAGGGACTACTGGAGCGAGTAAACATGTTACTCCATCCTTAGGGCTGACATTGAAATTTCAGGACAATAGAATTGGAGGGTTCCCTCTAATTTCACTGGAATGTACAATAGGTGGAAGAAATGCAAACAAGCACAATCAGTTCTACTAAAAAGCTTTTGCTGAATAAACAACCAGCTGCCAGCATCTGCAGTGCCTCGGTAACGTATTTTCAGGATTTTCTCAGTTTATCTCCAAAAATTACAACGTATTTTGTTGAGATTTTATGCAAAGGTTCTGTAAAGAAGAAAAAATACAGTACTCAGTAAAAGTTATAAAAGCACAATGATGTGTAAATATTATCCATTTGAACCAATTGCCTTGAGATGTCAATTTATATGCAACTATAGAACAAAACTGACAGATTGGCCACAGTGCTAGCTACTGTAGCTTGTTCTTAACATAAATATGGAGAGATTATAGATAATAGCCTATAAAAATAAAACATATTTATAATTATTTGCCATCTATCAGATAGATTTCTGCTGGTCATCCTTATTGATAAATGGATCAGATTTGAGTGTGAAACTCCACCACCTTCTGAGACGTTTTGTGGTAAAAGCTGGTAGAAGTTCGCCCGTGTCTGGAAACTTCCCCGCATCCCTGCAAGAAATAACCAAATAGTTTCGTCTTTGCTGAGCTGAGACCCAAAGAGGCAGAGTTTTGATGTTCCCAAATTTGCAATCTTCATCTTGTATCACTCGCTGCATTTTCCGAAAGCCAAATGAAGCCCACACTCAGCAGTACTCTCCACAAGCAGCTGCCAGGGGTTTCTGATCTGTAAGCCTCGATAATAATCCCCTTCTCTGATTTCCATAATGAGTCAACCGGCAGCTAAATTGTGTTATTCTGGTCATTTCATCTCGCGGTGCAGAATTTTAAACCATTTCCAGTCAATACGTGATGCTCCATCAGTGTCCTTACAGAGTCATTAAACTTTTATGGCGTCCCTTGAAAACTGCCCCTTGTACGTTGAAGTGGAACGGAAAGGTGCTCCCAGTCAGGGTTGGACTTTCTGTAGCGAGTAAATATTTTATGGCATAAAGCAGACTTTATGTCTCTTCATGAACTTTCAAATGCTACCAGCTGCTCTTTGTAAATTCATAAACTCCAGTCATGTGTTTTTGAGGCATAAAGATTTCAATGATGTTTGAAAGAGGCATTTATTGAACCCCACCTTCCAGGGAGACATTTCTGTAACGTCTGAATGAAACGTTTTTAGATGTTTTTTGAGCATAAAAATGCTCTTACAAAAATTACACAAGCATGTAATTTATCACTAACAAAAGAACATTATGAGGAAATATTGAGGACATCGTTTGGGGACAAATGGAGAGTAACATTGCTAAGTTAGCTACAAAGGATAAAAAGTTGATATTTTGTAGTGATCAGTCCCACAAAACCTGTGCAGGCAGATGGGTATGTGCGTATTGGGTTGATGAAATTTGTTTCTGACAATCCAAATGTAAGGCACTGAGAACCAGAAACCAGGAGCATCCTGCAGAGATCACAAAAAACAAAAGATGTCAGACTAAACTGACATCTTTTGTCTTCAGAATTGTCCGCTGAAGACTTTTAATTTTACCTCGACTGGAAACTGTTTTTATCTCACAACCAGGGAAGGAAAGGTGTTTTACTGTGAAATATTGAGCTTTATTATTAACCAGATTATTTTGGGGTGGTCATAATAATCTATTCATGTAAGTATTTTTTAAGAAGTTTTTCTAACAACCAATCAGAGCTCAACTTACAAATAGTGAACTCATCGCTGTCTTCAGGTGTTTTCCCCCAGGCTTTGAAAACAGCAGTTATCAAACCACTGATGAAAAAGAACAATCTGGACAAATCACTGCTGCAGAATTACAGGCCGACCTCTGACCTCACATTCATTAGCAAAGTTACTGAAAAAGCAGTTTTTAAACTATTAAATGAATGAATCGGTTTGACTCCTTCCAGTCTGGTTTTCGTGCTCACCACAGCACAGAGATGGCCT